TACAAACAACTTCTTTAAGCCCACTTTCATTCGTATCCATAGCAGTCTTGGGCTTACACATTCATACTCTTTCACACATTGGCCCATTCTTTCTGAAAGGATCATACCCACCCCCTGTCATGCCCACTCGATCTCGTCTACACCAGACCAGTATGCGGTATACATGCCATGTGTAGTGACATCCTTCCCCTTCCTTTTCGTCTCATTTACACATAACAGGGGGTGCTAAGAATCTCCGGTGGAGGTTCGGTTGCCACCTACGACGACTCGACCTGGCAACATTTAACGCACGCACACTGAGGACTGACGTGAAGATCCTGGAGCTGGAAGAAGAGATAGACAAGTTGCGCTGGAGTATTATAGGATTATCCGAGGTCCGAAGAGAGGGGGAGGACACGGTGATTCTCGAATACGGCAACTTGTTCTATCACCGGGAGGGCGACCATCTGTCCCAAGGAGGTGTCGGATTTATCGTCCACAAGTCTCTCGTCAACAACGTTGTACAGATTGAGAGTGTGTCGACGAGAGTCGCGTATCTGATACTCAGAATCACCAAACGGTATTCGCTGAAGGTCATACAGGTTTACGCACCAACGTCGGCACATTCCGATGAGGAGGTGGAGGAAATGTATGAGGATATTTCCAAAGCCATACATTCCTCCAAAACCCACTACACGGTGTTGATGGGAGACTTCAACGCAAAACTAGGCACAAGAGAAAACGGTGAGCTGAAGTTAGGGAAATTTGGAGTAGGGCAACGGAACCGAAGGGGCCAGCAGCTGGCTGACTTTATGGAGAAAGAGGGACTTTTTATGAAACTCTTTCTTCCAGAAGCGGCCCCACAGGAAGTGGACCTGGTCGAGCCCCGACGGTTTGACAAAAAATGAGATTGACTTCATTATGACGACCAGACGCCAACTGTTCAGTGATGTCACAGTGATCGCAAGGGTGAAAACTGGCAGCGATCACCGAATGGTTGGAGGCACACTGAACCTAAACGTTAAGTTGGAGAGGTCTCGTCTAATGAAGTCAACGCTCCGTCCCCCCTCGTGCTCTAATCCAAAATCCCGAAAACTTTCAGCTCGAGTTACACAACCGCTTTCAGTGCCTACAAGATTGCAATGCAGTGGACGATATGAATGACAAGCTCGTGGAAACTGTCCATGCGGTCGGAGCTAAGTTCTGCAAGACCCGCCGCAGAAGAACACAAAAACTCTCCGATCACACTCTTAATCTTATGGATGTTAGACGGGAGATGAGGCTGCAATCGTCAACAGATTTGACAGCATACAGGCAACTGAACAGACAGATCTCCAAATGCATGCGGCGAGACTTACGCAACTTTAATACTGCTCGTATTAAAGAAGCGATCGAGCGGAACCAGGGCTCCAAAGTCTTTGCCAGAGATCTGTCTGCCAGAAAGAGCCAACTGTCAAGGCTGAAGACTGAGTGTGGCAGCATCGTTTCCGGGACACCTGAGATTTTGAGTGAGATTGAGAGGTTCTATGGGCAGCTGTACACATCATGGTTGGAGCCACACGCGAGTGTGAGTAACGATCCAAGAGCAAGTCTTATCCGACACCATTCCGATGATATCCCGGACGTCAGTCTAAGCGAGATTAGAATGGCTCTCCAGCACCTTAAAAACGGCAGGGCCCCAGGCGAGGATGGAATTACAGCGGAGCTTCTGAAAGCGGGTGGAACACCGGTACTTGAAGTCCTTCAGAAGCTCTTCAATTCCGTCCTCCATGGTGGCACTACTCCAGAGGCGTGGAGCAGAAGTGCGGTGGTCTTGTTCTTTAAGAAAGGCGACAACGCTCTCTTGAAGAACTACAGACCGATTTCCCTTCTGAGCCGCGTCTACGTGCTGTTTTCGAGAGTCATTACGAATCGTCTCGCACGCAGACTCGACGACTTCCAGCCTCCCGAACAAGCCGGTTTCCGAAAAGGCTTCAGTACCATAGACCACATACATACCCTGCGGCAGATTGTACAGAAGACTGAAGAGTACAATTTGCCACTTTGCCTGGCGTATGTGGACTATGAGAAAGCCTTTGATTCCGTCGAAATTTGGGCGGTGCTGCAGTCCCTTCAGCGGTGCCAAGTTGACTGTCGGTATATCGAAGTGCTGAAGTGTTTGTACAGTAGGGCTACGATGGCTATCCGAGTACAGAACCAGAGCTCGAAACCTATCCAACTGCAGAGAGGTGTAAGACAGGGTGACGTTATATCCCCGAAACTCTTCACCGCTGCTTTGGAAGACGTTTTCAAGCTACTGGACTGGAAAGGATACGGTATTAACATCAATGGCGAGTACATCACTCACCTTCGATTTGCCGACGATATAGTCCTTATGGCAGAATCGCTGGAGGACTTAAGCAATATGCTCAATGACCTCAATAGTGCCTCCCAACGGATAGGTCTTAAGATGAACATGGACAAAACAAAGATTATGTTTAATGTCCATGTCACACCTATGCCGGTAGTTGTTGGGAGCACTATGCTCGAAGTTGTTGACGAGTACGTTTACCTGGGACAAATATTCCGACTAGGTAAGTCCAACTTCGACCGAGAGGTCAATCGACGGATTCAACTCGGCTGGGCAGCGTTCGGGAAATTACGACATATCTTCTCGTCAGGTATACCTCAATCTCTGAAAACTAAAGTGTACAACCAGTGCGTGTTGCCAGTGATGACTTACGGATCAGAGACGTGGTCCTTCACTGCTGGCAGTATGAGGACGCTCAAGGTCGCTCAGCGAGCTATGGAGAGGGCTATGCTCGGAGTTTCTCTGCGTGATAGACTCAGAAATGAGGATATCCGCAGTAAAACCAGAGTGACCGACATAGCCCAACGGATTAGTAAGCTGAAGTGGCAAAGGGCCGGCCATATAGCTCGAAGAACCGATAACCGATGGGGAAGAAAGGTTCCCGAGTGGCGGCCTCGTGCCGGTAGGCGTAGTGTAGGGCGACCCCCACTAGATGGAGTGACGACCTGGTAAGATATGCAGGAAGTCGATGGATGCAGGTGGCTCAGGACCGTGCTTTGTGGCATTACTTGGGGGAGGCTTATGTTCAGCAGTGGACTTGTGAAGGGCTGTGATGATGATGATGATGATGATGATACACATAACACATCCATTCCTCTATCATACATCATATCGCACACTTCATCCATTTTATCATTCATTGCCCCACATACATTCAACGTAGCCAGACGGGCCTCTGCAATCCACTTTTCGCCTCTCCGGGAGACAGAACGTGACGGGTGGCGAACCTCGTCGCCGGTTTTCCTCCCGGAGATTCTTCGCACCCCTGCCCCATTAAAGGGGCGCCGGGAACTCGGGGCCATTTCTTTTATATAGTTCCTCATGTGCGAAAATATTGGGTAGTATGTTTTACGCCGCTACCACGGCGTGGAGCCGAGTCTGTGGTATCGGCTTGTCGCTCATTTAGCACCACCCGGGGGACACGTGTAGGGTGGGCCTAGGAATAGGTTGTATAGCCTAGCCATAGCCTAGCCATATCCATAGCCTACGGACGCGAGCGACTTATCCCCCAAACTTCAAACCAAACTATAAATAATTACCAACTCTAAATAATCAATATCGGTTTTTTAAAAATCGAACATTGTACGTTCCCATTTTTTGGTTGGCATGCTTGGTGCAATAAGTCTGACAGCTGTCAAAATGTATTTCTTACATTTGGTTAGTTCTCCTGTTCTCTAACCTCCATGGGTGGAGTATAGCATAGACGTATATAAGCATTTACATCACGTCTATGGAGTAGGAATATAGCGAGCGTACTTGTATATATAGAGGTCAGTGCTGTCTACGGACTATAGTATCTATGGCGATCTATGGTCAGTCGTCATAAATTATAGATGTGTCAACTCGGAAAAATTACAACTCGAGTTAACTCGAGTTGAAATTCACGTAACTCGAGTTAAAACTCGAGTTAGCTGGACAAAGTACGTTTTTATAAATTTGTTTTTCTATCTAGCTCTTTGGTGGGTTGGGATAACTAAAATTACATTTTTTAGTACTAAACTTATTAAGTAGGATTGAAATAATAAGGTATATTTAGTATGTATCACATACTTATTATGTATTTTTGGTTTTAATCTTTGCTATAACAATAACCTGTATTTAACAACAAAACTATTCTTCATAAAACAATATCAGTCTAGCTTTAAGAAGTAGGTACATAAGCTATTAATAGATTAATTATCACAGTCAAAATATTCTCAAATAACTTAGCTATTATAAAATTCTAAATAACAAATTAATTTGGTTGTTGCTATTTGTTGACTTTCTTCATTTATTGCCTTCGATTAATTCGTTGCAATAGGAACATTTACTTAAATATTAAACTATATATAATTATTGAGGTACCTATTTAACAACATATAGGACCACTTAGTTAAAATGTGTTTCGATCAGGTATTTTCTGATTAAATAAAAGAATGTAATACTCAAATAATAAAATATAATTTCTTGTAAGTTAACATATTTATAAGTATTTTCAACATCAATATTCTGAAATAACTAATCATAGCTTCTTCTAAATTTACACATAAGTTAGTATTTTCAACAAAATATAATATTTAAAAAAAACTAACACTATCTTCTTGAAAGTGAATCAAATTATGATAAAAAATAATAATAAAGTGTAATCAGTATTTGTTGAAAAATAAAGAAGATTATTGAATGCTATTGAGAAATAAAATTTGGCCAACTTTTTTAGGTGTTAGATGGTTTCTTCTATAATTGCAAAAAATTCCGGCTTTTGAAAATAAGCATTTTGAAGGAACTGATGCTGGCGGTTTTTGTGTTGTTGGTTATCGGCAAACTTCATATAATCACAGAATAAATATTAATAATAGTATTACAAGTACAAACGTGGGTGTCATTTATTCGATTCACTGTGATGGGAACACAAAGCACGCACACAACGAACGAATCGCGCTATACCACAGAACACTAATACCCTTAGGCGGGTATGCGCTATACTCTTTCACTGACTCGCTTGATTCGTTCATGTACAGCCAGCCCAAACTCGAGGAGATCCAACTCGAGTTATCTTGAGTTAAGCGCAACTCGAGGTGACTCGAGTTAGTAACTCGAGTTGACCCATCACTATCTTAAAATTAATAATGTATTTGGTCACGACGACAATCGAGTCTACTGCTTAGGTGAAAAATATTTTGAGATTGAACTGAAACAAACTATTGAATAATCCGCATAGTGTTTATTATTTAGTGATAATTTGCGCGTAGTGTCGGAATAGTTTTTTTTTCATTAGTGTCTTATTAAAAAGAAAATCGATGAGATGTGTGTGTAGGTGAAACAATTATGTGTAGTGTTGATTACTAATGACGTCTGAATCCAAACAAAAGGCAATCGTTGCAAGAAGACCACAAAACTTATAAATAGAAGGTAAATAAGTTACCGTAATAGTTTGTGCGCTTTAAAAAGATTAAGATAAAAGAATTAGTACCCTTCACTTTCAATTGAGACTAAACGAGAAAATGTCAAGACGGTGACCTCCAACGTAAAGTTCCGTTTTCTTCTAATATAAATAATGTATATTTATAAATGTTTGTGTATTTATATGCTTAAATACTTCTATTATTTAATTTGCACGGTGTTGGGATGAGATCTAAATAACTAGACTATACAAGATCTCATGCATATCATACTGTGCTACATTTTATCTGGGTGAAATGATATGGTAATTTTCATTTTATCAACATCTACCAAGTGAAGTGTGCGATTTCTATGTTTAATAAATTGATTTATTGCTTAATTTATTTTGATTAAATTAACATTCATAATAAAAAAAAATTATAGGATAGGATGACAAACGAGCACACAGTCCACCTGATGTTAAGTGGTTGCTGTGGCCCATAGACATTTACATCTATCCTTGATTATGAATCAAAACTGCAGATGTGTTGTCACCCGTGAGGACTAAGATGGAATGCCTCATTTCCAATGGTTATAATGTAAGTTTTCCTAAAGACTCCTAGAGAATAGCCTTCTTCTTTTATATTTCTCTTGATTTTATTGAGTAGATTGACAGAACAAAATAGAAGGTAAGGTCTTACTTGACAAAAGTGTTCCATTTCACTGTTATGATAGTGGATTATTTGAACAATAACCATAATTTTTAATACATTAATGATCTAATTAAACTTACAGTGTAAAGTCTATTTAGGGATACTGAATGGACTGCCCTTTTTATGGAGTCATTTTTTTAACTGGAAAGAAGAAAAATCAATAGTATTTATTTACTAATAAATTATGATGTTTATAAACAATAAAAATAAACTTTGTCGGCCTTTTATACTGCACCAGTATTTTAATTGTATTGTCTTATGTATTTTATTCATATCTTGGGATACTGTGGGATCAACTTGATTATACAAAAAGTATTTTTTAATAATTTTGTTGCATGGAGTGCTTGTTTATTGCTTGGTGGTGGCTGATGATCATCCGCCACATCTTTTTCATCCCCTAATTGTTGTTCCTCAGTTTTTCTCACTGAATCCATAATTTCTTCATCTGTAAGTGAAGCTAGTAATTAGCCAGGCTGTTGTCTACTTCTATGTAGGGTCGTAGATTTTTAGTGAAATTTTGTGGTATGTTGAACTGTTGAACCCACTTGGTTAATTAAAGGTCATCTTCACTTTCAAACTCTGGTACCGTTTCTAATTCATCACTCATTCAACTGGTACAAAGTCTAGCACAACGAAAAGTGCTGTACAGTTGCTGCTGTTACTTCTTCCCAGGTTTTGGATAAAACATTTAGTGTATGCAGCATCAATAGTTACTTTCTGTGTTTGTTGTAAGCCTCTAGTTGTGTTTGTTGGAAAAAATGCCAAATCTTATGTTTTGAAGGTTATATATAAGAGGGTGAGCAGGGCAGTTGTCGACAAGAAGCAAGATGTTTTATTGTCCTTCAATTTTGCATCCCACCTTTGCAATTCTTCTTCAAGATTATCTTGTTATCCAGGCTAGTTTATTTCGTTTATAGGTGGATAACACTGGATGTTTTTGATTTGCCTATTACTACCAGCTTCCTTTTTTTGTGCCATTCGTACAAGCACCTATAAGCACTGTAATACGCTCTGTGTAGAGTTTTCCTCCCACATACTTTTCTCCTTTAAATTTCAAAGTTTTATTGGGGGGGTCAACTTAAAGAAAATTCTGGCTTCATCAGCATTAAAAATGTCACATGGAGTGTACTTTTCTTTAAATTTTGGCCACACTCTATTAATCCAGTCGTCAGTACACTTCATGGTTCTCCATTAATTAAACAATTGTTGATATGGTGACCTTACTTGAACTTTCTGAGCCATCCTTCTGATGCTATGAAAGCCGATAATATCTTTGCCTTAGCATTCATGATTGGACTGGAGACAGGTGTATTATTCTGACACTGTCTGTGAAACCATGATAGCATAGCTTAATCCAATTCTTTGTATTTATAATAAATAATAAAGCCTTTATTATCCGAAATAATTTAATATTACATTAAGTTAAAGCTAAAAAAAGAATTAAAAAAGAAAGTACAATATTATACAGTGTGTCCGGTCACGGACTAGCGATATTCTAGGTACTTATAATACAGCTATTTTATTTTATATATTTTTATTTTAATACAAAAATACACTACACACTGAGGTCTAGTCCCCTTTTTTTGTATTTTGTTTTTTTTTTCTAGATATATTCTCTATGTCGTAGATGGACAGAGCGCGGCCCGCCGGTCGAATACTGGTGGCCCGCCGACAGCAAAAATAACTACACTACATACTACATACGAAAAATATTGAATTATATTCCAGAATAAAACCAAAAAAAGTATGTTCGAAAAATAATTTGAATTCCGCGCGCGCGGTCTTAAGTGATGAGTAAAGATCTCGGTTAAATTAGTTTTCTTGAGGAGCCGCGGAGAGGCGGCGCGGCGACGACGGCAGCGCGGTGGCGGTTTATCCACGGGTTATATTGTTAGAGCAAGTGAGATAGCAATAGTCCCGAATTCCTGATTGCTCGCGTAGGTAGATACACGAAGCTTCCAGAGTCGATTTCTTCAGACAGTTTTCGACTCTATACGCGCGGTATAAAAGCCATGCTAACCGCAGCGACCGACAGTTCGGTTTTAATTTGAGGCAAGTGTCAATAGTTCTAGTGTAGATTTTAACTCGACTAGCCGGTGTCATATATTTTGATCCACATTCAACGTAGATTTCCTGTCAAGTGCCGTGTATAATTGTGTTGTGAAATCGTAAGTAAAACTCTGTTATTAGTAAGTGTTTCCCTACCTATTTAATCAATTATTCTTGGTAATTTAAAAAAAGGATGGGTAATTTAAGTAGGTACTGTAATTGTTTTTAGGTGCTGTGTTAATCCTAGCCAGGATTAGAATAAGCCAGTACCGAAACGTAACGTTAAGGATAAGGCAGTTTCAAGAACCAAATTTCTGAGAAACACTTTTTTGTATGGTCGCATAACAAAGTCGTTTGTTTAATTTGCAAGAATTCTGTTGCGATTGCAAAAGAATATAATGTAAAAAGGCACTATGAAATGCAGCATCCTACTTTTACCAAGTTCACAGGTGAATTAAGAAAGCAAAAAATGTTGTCTTTAAAACGGGAGCTTATTGGTCAGCAAGCTATGTTTACAAATCCCATTCAAGATTCAGAAACTGCTACAGAAGTTAGTTATGAAATTTCTCGAGTGATAGCAAAGCGAAGTCGATGATGGGGATTTTGTAAAAGAATGCATAGAAATTGCTGCTAAGAAAATGTGTCCAGAAGCAGCAAAAAAGTTTAAGAAAATTCGACTGAATCGTATGACTATCCAAAGACAAATTATGTCTTTGTCAGGTAATATTGCGGAACAATTAAATGAAAAAACTAAGAATCATTGAATTTTTTTCATTAGCACTTGACAAATCTATTGATATTAGTTCCACAGCTCAACTTCTGATATTCATACGAGGTGTTAGTCAAGATTTTGAAGTCTTAGAAGAGTTATTAGGAATGTGTTCATTGAAAGGTCAAACCAGAGGAGTTGATATACTCAATGTACTTTTGGATGAGTGTTCAAAAACTGATTTGGACTTATCAAAATTATCGGGAGTTGCGACTGACGGTGCTCCTTCGATGATTGGTATCAATTCTGGGCTAGTTACTTTGCTGAAAAAGCATCTGCAAGAAAAAAACATAAACACTGAAGATCTCATGCAGTTTCACTGCATTGTACATCAAGAAGCCCTCTGTTCTAAAAAAATTTCATGAAAGCGATAGTTTCGACAGTAAATTTCATAAAATCACGAGGACTCAATCACAGGCAATTCAAACAATTCCTTGATGATATCGAAAGTGAATATGGAGATTTACTGTATTATACAGAAGTAAGGTGGCTAAGTCCTGGATTGACACTGGAACAATTTCTAAATTTAATAGAAGAAATTGGAATATTTCTGGCGGAAAAGCAAACGGATGTTTATTATTTTAAGAATTATTTGATGAGAGTGGGTCACCTTACCTGACACCTCTATCGATTGGGAAAATGTCTCCTGTAGATTCTAGCCTGATTCTGGCTTTACTTTTACTGATTAATGGTATTAACATAGGCATTTTGAATCCCCTGTTCTTTTACTTTTAGACTTTGCCATACTGACTCAGGCTTAAGGCTATCGAAAGCTTTGGCATAATCTATAAAGGCCAGGCCTTATTGTATTCATTGTATTTTTGTATGATTTCTTTGACTGTATGTATATAATCAATTGTACTAAAGTCTTTCCTGAACCCTGCCTGTTCCACAGGTTGACTTTCATAGAGCATGAGTGATATTCTGTCTAGAATCACTTTAGCGAAAACTTTATATACATTTGGAATTAGAGAAATGGGTCTATAGTTTCCTATATATTCTTTTGGACCCTTTTTGTGTAGGAGTATTATATGTGATTCTGCCCATTGACTTGGAATACAGCTGGTATATAGAGTCTCATTGAAGACTTTTGTTAATATTGGGCCTAGTTCTTTAATTGTCCCTCTTATAAGTTTGTTTGGGATTCTATCTGGACCAGGGGCTTTTTCTGACTTCTGACTTTTTATAGATTTTTCTACTTCCTTTACTAATATTTCTGTTATAACTTCTACATCGTTTATTCTGTGGTTTTGTATATTATTATATTCTTTATCTGATCATTGTATTTTTGGCTGATTTGAACTGTGTCCCTTGTACAGTAAGCGATAATAGTTTGTTGCAATATTTTGGATTTCACTGCGAGAAGTATTTGGCGGTGTTTTCTCTGTTAACTTTGGTATCCATTCTTTTCCCTGTTCTCAAAGTTCTTTGAGTGCTTTTTTATGCCTCTTGTTCTGCTAATGTGATTCTCTAGGGTTTTGATTCTTCTATTTTTCCTGTCAATCCTCATATTTTCGCAAATCTGTTTTCCAAGGTTTGATATTTCTTTTTGATTTTCTTTCTAATTTTGTTTTTAATTAAATTTCTTCTGTCTTCAATCAGTTTTAAAGTTTTTTCACTTGAATAGGACTTTTTGTTTTCTATTTTTTATATTTATTGTTAAGGTCTATATCTGAGTCTATAATATTCCCGTATCATTAAATGAACTTTGTTGGTTATTATGAAGTCTATTTCGTTTCTAGTCTTTCCATCTGGAGACATTCAAGTCCATTTGTTTTTGGGTTTTTTGCGGAACATGAAATTTAGAAGTGCTTGTTAAGTTTTTCTCAATTAGGAACGGATATCAGTATCTGTTGTGAATTGATGAATGGATTGATCTAGATCTTTGATTATTTACCTACCTGGTCTATATAATCAAAGATCTAGGTACCCATAAGACTCTGTCATGTGTTAGCAGCCCAAGGAATCTGTATGCATCAATCTCCAATGACTATATATATCCCCAAAGCCATGATTGTATATAATAAATAATAACTAAGAGAAGAAACTAAAAAGATCCAATGCATAAATCAGTAAATAGGTATACATAAGGAAAAAAGTAAAAGTAAAAAGTTTATAAATCACAGACGAGCCTTACTTATGTAATGCATAAGGCCCGCCACATATATACGGAAATCTGTTTCGGGATTCCAGAAGAACGCAGCAAGTCCATACTCCAAATAAAATCAAGGACCCGTCACACAACTACGGTAGTTTTCCGTTCGAAATTTTGCGGGCAAAACGGGATTCCGTATGTAGTAGGTAGTGTGCGGCGGGCCTAAATAACAAAGACGTTATGATCAAAACCAAGAAATTATATTTACTTTTTACTGTGGGTATTATTAGAATTGTAAAAAACATGCAAAAAAATACCACACCATTTACTCTTTTTTTTCTATTTGCGTTGTTATCACTATATTATCTAATTAATGGAATCAGGTGTTGCTTTGTGGAAATCCATTATTTTAAAGATGTTAGAAGTTAATTAGCTTAAGACCCGCGTAATACAATAAAATAATGTCACTTACCTAGTTTGAAGAGCACCTTCCTTGCATGTGTTATCCACATCACAACTCATCACTACCACTACTCACAATACCTAATACATGTTGCGCCTCTAAACGAGGAATCATGAGGAGAAATAGACTCAGCAATGAATAACCGCTAAGATTATATCTTCTATTCATTTATTTTCATTATATCATATATATTCATTATATCTTATTCCTTTTAAATATTATGAGATGGTTATATCGATATCGCCATCTGTTCTATTAGACGTCATGAGATTTTTCATAGTCTTCTTTTACGCCGGTACCACAGGCAATATCATTATATCGATTAATAAAAATTACATACATGTCCAAAATATAATTAAGGAGTCATTGCTAAAAATTATAATAGTGCGAGAGAAAGCGGGTATTCAATTTACTCTTGCTTACAGAGTAAATCCTTATCAGCAATAAAACAGCGTACTAGAAATTTAGTGTAGCGCTCTTACAATTAGATTATACTGTAAAGCTTAGTTCAGAGTTCAGACTAGGTACGCTATAATATTCTGCTATAAAGTATAGTATAGCACATTGCTTCAGACTACGCTATACTATTCTGCTATAAAGTATAGTGTAGCACATTGCTTCAGACTATGCTATACTATTCTGCTATAAAGTATAGTGTAGCACATTGCTTCATCAGCAAGCAATTCAATAATAAGTCTAGTATAGGGTGAAATTGACCATAAAAATGAATACTGATTGATTTTGTACTATATAACATTAGTCGCCCAAAGTGGAAATTGTCACCATAGAGTGCATTAATGCGAAGTTTAAAATAAAACACAGCTTGCTTAATATCAAATTATTTATTAATAATTATATTTCGATCATTAGCAGATCAGTATTATGTATTATACCAGTAATTTGTATTGTACCTATACATATGTATATTATATATATTATAGTGCAAATATATGTATATTATAGTTTGGTCTGAACTAAGTTTTACATGTGCTCGTCAAGAATACACATGTAGTATAATGAGAATGACGTAATTACCTGATAACACCATAATATCTATATTAAGTATTAACTTTATATCAACCCTTTCCCTGTCCCGTGACTTACATATAGGTAATTGCTATTGTCCTACTATTGTGTCTGCGATTAGAACAGGCAAAAGGGTTAAGTATGCAAACCAACGGCAACGCGGGGTAGCAGGAATGGAACGGATCGATCGGGGAAGGACCATGCTACCACTGAATACCAGCTTAAAATATAAATCCTGCTGAGTTTCGTAAGGTGTAGAGAACCGGAGAACTTTTTTATTGGAAACGAGGTTCCTATCTCAGGGTTGACAACGCATCTACATTTTGATTCATAACCACAGATAGATATATAATATTTCTATGAGCCACACCATCCTCTTACCATCAGGTAGACTGTGTGCTTGTTTGTCACCTTATTATATAAAAAATACAATCACAATGGACAGATTCACGACATTAACAAGATAACCGATTTAGTGAATTTCATGGAATCCCCTCTTGTGTTAAGTTATAAACAGCAACAATGAGAGGGGTTTTAAAGTTCCTCCTTCACTTCTATTTATCTTCTACCCTCTATCTCAGATATATATTGATTCATTCCTTTGTTAAACAGCATGAGTTCGACGGAAACGATCAACGTGACGGCGCAGCCGATCTCCGACACCGTCCATGACATGTTCAAGCCGTTGCAACAACCGGTGTTTCTGCAGACGACCTCTGCGCAGGTCATCACTGGGATATTCGTGTGGACTGCACTCTTTATTACTTGCCAACAGGTATGAGAATCTTTATAGCAGATAGAGATACCCTATTGGTCGATTTTCGGCGAAAACTTCTAATATACGAAGCTATCAATTGCGGAATATATAATGCACGTGGCAATAACAACAAATCGAACAATTACAGCCTATTAAAGGTTCCCTGCTGATCAAAGTTCATCAATTGCTTCAAAGGGGGAACAATTGCCGTAGTTGCCTCGCTTGGCAAGCGGGTTGGCAGAAGCAGTTTTTTTATTATTTTGAATTGTTGTCAAGATGCTGATGCCCATCTTCTGTTTAATTTCTCTCTATCGCTTCTTGTGACACCCACGGGACTATATGAGGTAGTGGATGTTCTTACGAGTATACCGCTACTACACGGTCAAGTAACAACGAAACTGTATCAGAAATATATTAATTTGTGTTTTTCAACAAAAGTTTATTCCGTCTGGCAATCAGTTACTGATTATTATTAAACCACTCTGGTTATTGACGCGGTGGTCAATATACTTACAATGACGTATTACCGATATAAGCAAAAAAATAAATTTACTTATCGTATTAATAAACAGTAGTTGAGAACCATCCATTCTATTCCATTAAAGGCTTCTATGTTTAAAAACATTTTGTTATGTCTTCCGATTTGTTGTACATTGCAGAAAACAAGTAACATGCAATTTTATTTCAAGTCGTCGGAAAGTCGGAAATTGCCGACAGAATAGCTTGTTATTAAACATGTATTTTTACACGCACTCCGTAATAGACCGTAACATAACTGTTAGCGAAGAACGAATCGTTTCTTGAGAATATTAATTTGATCTGGCAATATCGTGTAAAAGAAAACTACATTACTAATCCGTGGTCCTAGCCTATGTCCGTTATTGATACTCTTCTACATTGCTGTTGTTTGAAGGAATGCTTAATTCTATAGTCTAGTTAAAACCTATAATATTATTTTGAAAATGTATTAGACACTTACTGGCAAAAGTTAAGTCTGACTACTAGCTCACTTTTCTTTTCTTTCCTAAAATTGGCCCATTCTTATTCTGCCGCCCTGGGCCATGACCCCTCCCCCTCTTTTCTCGTCCAAGGTTTAATATTTTATTTGAGTATCACGTAGCGGAGTTTGTGATTTGGTCAGACCAAGTGAGAAAGTAATAGTATATTTTAAATAGTATCTATGTGGTAATCTGAATTACAAAATCGGTATAACTTATTAGTTAAGTGTACCTAATAATAAGTTAATTACGAAGATTTTTTTAAAGAAAAAGTTTCAACGCCACTAAGATTATTTTATGAAAACAGCTACACCAATTAAGATGGTATTTTTGACGTTTCGTAACTATTTCTTATATTTACCCGAACACTATACATTGATTAAAACTACTTTTACGGATTTTATCGCGTTTTATTTATTTTATTTTTAATACCCGACGCATCAACGTTCCGGGAAGTCTGCAGTTTGCGATCATATCCTAGATGGCCCAAACCATTACATCAGATTTGATACGACTACAAATCCTCGCGAAAGAACATCGATTCCTACCAAGGATGATACGTGAGGCTATTGAAATTAAAAAAAAACATCCTAATCCTTCCTATCCATCTAATCCCAAACCCTGCTTGGGACCCTATAATTAATAAAATTAAAACTAAACCCAAGCATACCACTGCAAGACTTAAGTATAGTTAGTTTATTCTGCGTAGATCGGACCAAAAATAACAATAATTAAAAAGCTGAGGGTACTGCGGGTTAACTTTGACATCGGGACGTCAGTCACATCAGTCCCCCGTGACCATGGGTGCTGGAAAGCACCCGAAACGTCGGGCATTAAAAATAAAAATAAAATAAATAAAACGCGATAAAATCCGTAAAAGTAGTTTTAATCAATTTTGTAACTATTTTCCGAATCGATTATTTATAAGCAATCTTTTATCTCAATCGATAAGTACAACTAAAATTCAACTGGACTTCTTATATGCAGTGCCTTACAGATTAATGTGTATGTAATTGAACTGGTTTTATTGAAAGAATGTTTTTTTTTTTCGATCCGACAATTGTGTATTTTTTTAAATACATCGTCTTTTTTATCGAGCTAAAAAGTCCACTCGATAAGTGTAATGTAGTCAGCCTATAGACCAGTTGAACAATGAACTTTTTTAACAATGAGCGCGTTCAAAGAAACAACTACTACAACTCTATTCTAAGCGTGTTTTTTTTAGTTATGGGCACCAATTTCACGAAAACGGCTGAAACGATTTAAGTAAATGATTATTTGTTTTATTAAATAAGTAATACAGCGGCAAAATATCCCTACGGGTGGAAAAATGGGGTAATAAAATAATATTCTATTTGTTAACTTGAACTTGTGATGTTCCTTGGAGCACTCAAAAGAGTAAATTATAATTAAATTCAATAATTAGAAATTTTTAAATAATTTCTATACAACAGCTTCTGAAGCTCGTAATTCTTCGACGTCCAATGTGTTAGCACCGACAGGCACCGATTTTCGTTTTTGAAGTCGATCTTCACTTTTGATTTTATGATTGATTATTTTTGTTTGTTATTCTTACGACGTTACGTTTTTTTCTTAACGTAATAATTTAAATAGTTACCTGTTTAGAATACTCCCCCACTGTTTTCTAACTTATCATTTCAATTCAACTAATCATTTATTTCGTAACTTACTCAATAAAAGAAATATTAAAAGTATTGTATAAAAAATTAAATGTCTAACAGCAAAAAAGCATGAACGTAGATTCCTTTTACATACAATTAAATTATTTATGCGCGGTAGAGCCACGCTGCAGCTGTATTGTGGTTACAGCACGGATAGCTCGGCTCGACCGGGGCAGGAGCACGCTCTCACAGAATAACAGCGTAAAATAGCAGATTAATGCAGCTGTGTTTCGTATAGTGTGTTAATGGAACTAGAGACCTTTTTTACTGGAAATGAGGCGTTTCATTTGAATAAAACAAGTTTTTACGGATTTTATAGCGTATATTAACTTACACCACGGGTGCTACAAAGTGATCAAAACGTCGGGAATATAATAATAATAATTAAGTTAATATACGCTTAGTTAAATGTGTAGTGCTCGCGTAAATATCGGAAATCATTAAAAGGCGTTTCATCTTAGTCCTCAGGGGTGACCAATCTGCATAAATGTAGATGGGCCACAGGCCACAGCATTCACTTATCGTCAGGTGGACTTGTTTGTCACCTTTATTCTATTAAATAAAAATTGAAATAAGTTATGTCGTCTATATTATCTCTATCTTGATAAACGAGTGGTAAAATGAAACATTTTGTACAACCGACTTCAATATAAATAAAACATCTATGTAGTCGAATAAATACGCATTCTTAAGGATAACGCAAAAATTCAATCAAATCTTGATCAAATTTATTTACTATCACATGAGAAGCACAATCTTTCAAATAATAAAAAAGAATTATCAAAATGGGTTCACATAGAAAAAAGTTCTGAGGTAACACACATAAACAAAATACAGTCTAATTGAGAACCTCCTCCTTTTATTGTTGGTTGAAAAATCGATTCATTTTATTTTTATCAATTTTTTTAGAAAAATTGGATATTAGCACCCTGCTGGTGGACAACAGGGATTTTTATCTTAGACCACTAAAATTATTTGTCTAAATGGTACTACTTGTGTACAACTACAATAATGTTTAATAAAAATGTTGAAACTACTGTATTTATGTAAAATTGGATATATCTGGGATTTAATAAATGAAATGTGATCAAAATAAATACATTGTGCGATCGACCTCGTACTGTTGGGATGCAACGGAGATAAAAGTAGTCAAGGCGCGAATCGATAGCAAACCCGCACTAAAGCGAAAGCGAACTTTTTGTACTCGTAAACTTAACGAGAAAGATGTTACTGAAAATCTATCACTGTTATGGAGGGCTATGTTCATCTGTGCACTTGTGAAGGGCTGTAATGATGATACAAAACAATAATAATAAGGCGTAGGGAATTGACGACCCCATCGCCCGCTGACGTAACAGTTAAGTGACAAAACTGCTACGTCAACGCAGTCAGTCAGCGCCTTGCGAGAGGTGTGAGCGCCGTGCCTCGGCAGAATTTAGGGTGCAGAGGCCCGTTTGTGCTTATGGCTACACACGAAACGGTGCCGGGCCTGGGCGTCTCCCGTTAATGGACGCCCAAATAATGGATGATGGATAAGAAGATAGTGCGCAAAGGGCCACCTAGCATCCATCATCCCCACCAGACGGCTTGATGTCGGCAGGGTCCTCTCGGACTCGGCAAGCGGCATCCGCCGCTGGTGGAGTGCGCCGCATGCGTTGGACAAGAGATATGAACGCAAACGCATTGCGGGCGTACTATAGGGCGAAAGGGGAAGAAACTAAGGGGATAGCGTATCGGGCTCGGATGCATTGCTTTTTTGCTGAGCTGGAGCCGTCTATTCCCGTCACGGAACAAAACCTGGCAGACAGAGTTCGGTACATCATGCGCTCGAAAATATTTGATGATGCCGAGCTCGAACGACTACGACGTGAGGCCATTCCCTCATCGAATGAATTGGCTACGGCTGGGGATGCGGCTCCTCAGGCGACAGACCAGCTGCCATGCATAGCAGACGCCATGCATCTTCCAGTTGTGGTTGATTCAGACGGTGATGAAATGGTCTCCCACGAACTAGAGCAAATGAGGAGTATACTGGAAGATGCGATTTTGGAAACGCGCACCATGCCTCTCGAAAATCGACCGCGACTTCTCCGCATACCCCTAAGCAAGCGAAATCGGGCTGTCGTGAGGGCTCTTAACCCTATGCTGGTAACCTATTTGGAAGTCAGCCGGGACCTTTGCGAGACGGACTCAGTTCTTTTTGGCGCCGCAGTGGCAGCTTGCCGTATTATTGGCGCCAAACTTCCCCTGGCTGGACGCGCTACTAAACAAAGTAGCGCCATCCCAGCCTGGAGAAAAAGAATTGAGGACCGTATCGCAAAAGCAAGGGCCCTTATCG